CTCAAAAAAGCATCAAGCATATACAAGATTTTGTGAAGACATTTACAAATGGTAATCAAAGTCAAAATTTAATGCTTGTTACAAAAGACATAGAAAAAAATTACAAGCCAAAATACCAACAAAATTAACTCACAAAGGTATATACTTTAAAACTGTTTTCCTCTGCGTTTAATTTAATTAGAAAAAGTTTCTTAACATTGTGATTTATTTTTCTCGTTGAAACGGTTGTTTATTGCATTAATTGATTCTGAGAAGCAAATTTGTAAGTTGGGGTTTTTTATATTTATAAAAGGAAAATTGTTTCAGTAATATGCGCGTAAAACCGTAAAAAAATCAAAATCTCACTAAACTTTTAATTACAAATCTAGCAAAGTTGCTAACTTTGGGTCAAAATTTTTTATATATTTTATCTTTCTAGACCAAATCACATAGTTTAAAACGCATAATCTCTTGATTATCAAATTTCATCATTTTTTGGGACACCCTTATGTACACCTCATCCTGCTGTTATATATTCTAAGAATTTTTTGAAACAAATATTCGGCATAAAAAGTCATTCTGTTTTTTAAGTGATGACAATGATCATTATACATACTTTGTGTATGAGTTCAAAAGAAAATAGTAGAGTATATTTAAGAATATTTAGATGGTATCAATAAAATTTATTTTTTTTCTGATGGGTTTTCTGCTCATTATAAAAACAACAAAAACTTTATAAATCTATGCCACCATAAGGAAGATTTTAAAATTACAGCTGATTGGGTAGTTTTTGCAACCATCCACGGAAAATCCGCTTGTGTTGGCATAGGCAGTACCGTTAAAAGAATAACAGCAAGAGCAAGTTTGCAAAGGCTATTCGAAAACCAAATATTGACAGTTGATATCCTTAAGTTTTGTATCACCAATATAAACACAATCATATTTTATAAAATTACCAAAGAAACAGTTAATGCAAGGCGACAACAACTAAAGGAGCGATTTAAAAAGGAAAAACTGTTTCACGTACCAAAAGTTAATATCATTACATACCCATTCCAAAATTTAAAATTTGTTTTAAAGTAACAAGCAAACACCAATGTGTTGAGAGATTTATTCTGTCAAAAGCAGTAATGTCTAATGTTGTAATTGTACCATATCTAAATGATTTTGTTAAATGCAAGTTTAATTGCATGATTTTTCTCAAAATATCAATTGACCGCAAAGAGATGATATCTCTTGGGTACCATAGTCGAGTTTGATTGCAGTAATCAATGTCCCAACAACAAAATCAGAGCGAACATATAACATTGATGGGAATGATTATAACACAATAACTAATTAATTTTAAGTTTTTTGAGTTTTTAATTTTTAAATTTTGTATATTACTTATGTATCTTGAACTTCTTTTCAAGTACTCTTTTTGTTTTGGAGTCTTTTTTTTTAAGTTTATTAATTAAAGATTGATAAAATGGAACTAATGTTTTATAAGTAATATATTTAAGTATATTAGAAGATGTTTTTAATTCTGACTAAAAACTCCAACAAGCATTTATTATGATTCTCCCCCTTTAAAACTTAAATTTTTTAGAATCAAATTCTATAAAATTGAAAAGAAAACAGAAACAGCTAGTCAACAACAGTCAAAAGAACATTTTGATGTAGCAAAAACTGTTTCAGTTACAAAACTATCAAGTTACCACTTTTTTTTTTCTTGTTTAATTTATTAAAATACCTGTTTTTTAAGCAATAAATTAACGTAGATTTGACCATGTTTTTATTTCTGTTTTAGAAAAGAAAACTCTCCAATTCTTTGTAATACCTATAACTAACTATTTAGGACAACTTCTAAATAAAAATAAAAAATCAAGCAACATAGGCATTTTTGTTATTGGACTCGCCAGAGTAAAGTTGTGGTGAGCGTTCAAATTTAAGGTGTTACGTTCGTTTTTAAATAATAAATTAAGTTATTTAATTGAATTCTTTAGTTCAAAACATGTAAAGGTACAAATTTTCAGCTTTCCAAAACACATACAACAGAAACTAGGACCAAAACTATTTTTAAGAATGGCGGGTTTTTGTTAGTTGGAGACAAACTTATTATAGCTAAGTCTTATGAACTGATTGAAATTAGACAATAAAATTTTCAGGTTGTTCATAATTTACATAAATCTTTAAGTGGCTTAAAACTCAGCAAAATCTGAGACTTAGGGTTGCATCCCCTGGCTGTTTTCGCATGAAATTGCCCATGGCTCACTGGCTTCAGGCTGGTGAGGCACTTTCTCATTTTAATTGTGCAACAGTAGTGTTTCATGCAACCCCCGTTTTAGACTAACATGAAAACGAGTTTCTTATTAGTATCTATTTTCCGCAGAAATGTTATTCCTTATCAACCGCTAAATTTGCTGGAGGTACAGGATTTGACTGTGCCACTGATATTGTCAGTGTACACTGACAATATGAGTGGCGCAATGTTAAGACACCTGGCTCATATGTCATTCAATTTACTAAGAATGAATGGAGTGTTTCTTGCAGTTTTGTGTTGTGTAAGGTTTTAGAAATTTTATTCAACAAAAATGATACACTTTCCAAAGGTACATGTAAATAATAGCAGCATAAACTTATTTTCTTTTGGGTAGGTCATATGTTTTTAATTTTTTTGTTTTAATAATTAGCCAATTTTTTTTTTTTTTTTTTTTCTAAAACTATACTAGTTAAATAATGATTATGTTCTACAAGTTGTTTGTTTTCTTGCTCTTTGATTTTTATTTATTTGTGTTACTCTTTGTTAGCAAATTTTGTAGTTATTTTTTTCTATATTTTTAACATTTTGTTGCAATTTTGCTCTACTAATTTTAAGAACTCTTAATTCATTTATGAAATCTAGACTTTTTTTTTTTTCTGCTGAATATTCCATTTTCCACAAATTTAGTGAAAAATACTGTCCTTTAAAATTCTTTGTTTGTAGGCTAGTTATGGGTTATTGGTCAAAAAACGAACTCTCTGCTGCAATTTTCTGTTTTTTCTTGTAAATTACGTACTGCATCTTTTTTTATTTTGCATAAAACTTTATTCTCTGCATTATGTAGGAGGCAATATTCAAATCACTTGCAATGTTCAAGTGAATATTTGTATTAAAACTATTTCTTTTTCTTTCATATTTAAATGGTTGCTGCAAAAAATCAACTATAGCAGCCCATGACTCGGTAGAATTTTTTTTAAAAGATTTAATTTTTTTATGCCAGTCTCTTATATTATTGGTGAATATTTTAAAATCAGATGCATTTTTTGGTTTAATGTTTAGTTTTTTTCAGACAAGGTTTTTATGATTTGAAAGTATTTTCAGGAAAATTTTTATAAATGTCACCATTTAAAACAAAAGCTTCGATTGGCATTTATATGAATAAAATAAAACGAAAATATCTTTTGCAGTCTTGTGGTCGATCTAAATTGAAGAAAAATATAAAGCAACAATAAAAATAACTAAAAAAATGACATGAAGGAGATTTTAAAGTATTGGTTATTATATATCAAATGAAAGATCTATAAACAAGTTATTTGACCATGTCAAAATCATTTACAAGCATTTATATTGGTATATTAATTTCGTTATATGAAATTACCTTTTTTGGCAGGGTTCGTTAACAGTAAAAAAATTGCAGTTTTCTAAAAGTTGTAGAACTATAAACAAGGTTAACCTTGACTTTAAATATGATCATTCGGAAATACATACATACATACATATATATATATATATATATATATATATATATATATATATATATATATATATATATGTATATCATAATATATAAATATATATATATATATATATATATATATATATATATATATACATATATCATAATATATATATATATATATATATATATATATATATATATATATATATATATATATATATATATATATATATATATATATATATATATATATATATATATATATATATATATATATATATATGTATATACAGCCGAACTAAATCTGTTTTAGGTTCGCTTTAGGTTGGCACAAAATTTATTACTGGGCTCGACAATTTGACAAACACGAGAAGTTTAGTATAAAATTGACAAAAAAAAACAAAATGTTAATTGAGAAAAAAATAAACTAAGGCCATTTTTGTTGAAAAGAAAATAAGGCCTTTATTTTTTGATGCACAAATGGGGCCAAAAATGTTTTTACACATCTTTCATCCCCCCTTCACTCCTACCCTACTAATTCCTGGATCTGTCATTGTTTAGAGTTAATACATCTTTTGTGTTCTCACTTTTATCTTAAATGTTTTGTTTGCTATTAAAACAAAGATTCACATTTAGAGTTTATTGAAAACTTTGTTATTTGGCTTTTTTTGCTTTATGTTCTTTATTTATTTATGTTTTATTAAAACGTTTGCTCTTCCGTTGGATTTTTAAATCATATATTTACATCACGTAAGTCTTTAAAATATTTAAATTTGACAGTTTCTAAAAAAAACAATGAAAAAATAAAAAATTAGCTATACAATATTTTTTTGTATCTAGATACATTCAGTTCAATTTATGGGTAGGCTCTCTTGTCAAACCCCTATTCCGACGTTGAGCGTCCTTTGCGTCCGCGAGCTTGTGTTTCTAGAAAATAGGCAAAATGGGGCACAGAGGGATTTGTGCTGCGGTGTGTACATACACCGACTTATTTTAGAGAGAACATGCAGTGGAGTGTTCAAATAACGATTCAGGGTTTGGGGTAGGCAGGCTCTCTTTTAAATGAAGAAGTCGTTTTTTTACATTTTCGGACCTTAAGGACAGCGTCGGAATATTGTTTTGACAAGAGAGCCTACCCAATTTATGTAGTAAATCTCCGATTTACTACATAATTGATTAATGACTTTAATTTGAAATCTCGATTTCAAATTAAAGTCATCAATCACGTTTTATACAAATACTTAAATGTATTTGTTTATTATTTTATTATATGTATATTTTTAATTTATCTTTTTTTTCATTTTTTTTTCGGTACAGTAGAAAGCAACAATAGTTGCTCAAGTGATTGGTTCCAATTTGCTAGTTATTGCTACTATTTTCATACTAAAAATGAGTCAAATGGAAAAGGATGGCTTTATTCCTATTTAAACTGCTTAGAAAAAGGAGGAAACTTGTTAAGCATAGATGATGAAGCAGAATACGCATTTATTTTAAACACTCTTAAAAACTACAGCATGAGTAAAAATAATTACTGGATTGGTACTATTATTTTTTTGTTTTAACATGTTAATTTATTTTCTTTGTTATAATTTTGTAATTGTTTTAGGTCTCACTAGTCGTTGGTTTAACTCATGGTTTTTGTGGTCTGATAATACATACTCGCAGTATATAAATTTAAAGTTAAATGGGTCATATGATGAAAAATATAAGTCTATCATAATAAATAAAGCATATTGGGAAGTGAGGAATTACAAATCTTTAAACGGATTTATTTGTAAAAAAAGAAGAGGTTAATTTTGTTAATAAATAATTTAATTTTTTTTTAATTCTTGTTTTTAGTCTTTATTTTTTAATGTTTAAATCAACACATTTAAATTTTTTATTTATTCTACGAAGCATCATATTTTTAAATTTGTAATTGCAGCCGTTAAAAATACATACAATATATACATACAGCGAACAGAGAAAACACCCTTTCCTCAACCAGTGATCTAGTCTAATTTTAAAAGAAAGTGCAATTGAGTAGAAAGTTACATGCTCGGATAGTTCGTCCCAAAATTTTGCTGATCTGTTATATAGTTAGTTGCGTCTTAGAAGACAGTTTAGAAGATATTCACGTCTTATTTTAAGATGGTGACTGCGTCACATGGAGTTAATATATTTTGGTTGAAATATTTTATTAATTACCGTTAAGTTTGGTCACCATGTAATTTTGGTCATTTAAGTAAAAATATAAAAAAGCATGCAAATCTCAAATTTTACAAACAAATAATCTTTGTAGTTAGTTCGTAAATGTTTATATGCAAATTGTTAAAATAATTCTTTAGCAAGACAACAATATAAAAAAATACATACAATTAAAATCTAAAATCAGCAATTTATTAATATAAATGATCAAATATAATCTTAGTATTGTTAAAAATCATTAAATTAATTATATTTACAAAATAAAAGTTATTAAATTTTGAAAATTACTACTTTTTTTATAATAATTTAGTGAAACTTTGAAATACTCTAACTTCGGTTTTTTACGGATAAATAAAGAAGTAGTCAATTAGCAGTAATATTGTGAAATGTTTATAAATGTTGCGAATGTAAAATTTACCAATAAATTTACCTGTAAATTTACTTGAAAGTTTTGAAATTTTCATATTGGATTTAAAAAAGACTTTTTTAAAACAATTGAAAAATATCTTTAATTTTAATAACTAATGGCATAGCAAATATGATAATGGCTAAAGTAATAAAATAGTTGACTAATTAAAATAAAAATTAAAAATACTATTATTTATATTTAAAAAAATGGCCGGGTTTTATGTGGTTCTTTTTATTTTCTTTGGTGCCCTAATAACTTTTTTTAAGCCCAGGGCAACGTTCTAATTAGTTTTTGATGTTATCTGAACTTTTATCATAATCTTACAACAAAAGAACATTTAAAAATTAGTTATTATTATTTGTGTTATTAAGTTTGTGACACGTTATTAGAATTTGTATAGGGGCTAAACTTATGATATGGTATTGAAATTTAGATGTTTTCATTTTAATTTAAATATTGAGTACTAGTTTCTTGTTTGTTTTATTTTACAATATCAATTATCATCATAATTTTCTGTATGTTTTAGGAAAACTAATTGAAAAATTTTGATTTATGCGTGATAAATAAACGTTCAAAGCTAAAGAGACCGAACTTGATGTATATATGTATATATATATATATATATATATATATATATATATATATATATATATATATATATATATATATATATATATATATATATATATATATATGTATGTATGTATGTATATAAATTTATATATATTTTATAAAAATTCTCACATATCAACAAAGGAAAAAACAACCAATGCACAATAGTCTTGTTAATAAGGTTAATAAAAAAATAATCCAAAATCAATTAAATAAATTTATCTTTTTAATTGACCAACGAATACTTGGCATGTCACGTTTTTTACTACTGTTCAACCTTACTCTAAGTATGTATGTTTTTGAGCATAATTCCATTTCTACATTTACTAATAAATGACATATGTAAGCATACAAATTTAGAAAAGGTTGAACAGTAGTAAAAAATGTAACATGCCAAGTAGCCGATGGTCAATTAAAAAAATAAATTCAACTATTCGGTTTTGGTTACACATTTCTTAATTTTTTGAAGAGATTTCATATTTTTTTGTATTATGAACCGCTTTCGCACAAATAATACAAATAAATGAGAAAAGAGAATGATACAGACAAATCCCGGAAGGCTTCTGCTTCTTCTCAAGTATCCTATTAACCAGTTATCTATAAACCCGCTTCCCAGCATCAAAAATCTTCTTAGATGCATACAGTTTATCAAATCTCTAAGGTATTTGAAATCTAATACGCCAATTGTTGCTTGCTCTCAAACGTTTCCAGTCAAAGATCTTATCTGCAAGGGTAAATTTTGTAAAAATTCTAACCAGGGATTTTTACAAACTTAAAAGTTGTGTTACTGTTCTTGTAATGGATGTGTGGAACAAATCTGGTTTCAGAGAGATTATCCTTTCTGGATCTGCTGTCAGGTAAGAAATAATACTATTTTTAATGTAATATAAATTAATAATTTAATTTAATATAAATAATACTATTTTTAATTTAATACAAAATAAAAGTAGATCAACAAACATTAACATCATTAATATAATATATAAAAGTAACCATACCTATGTAAATATGAAAATTTATATAATGATTTTTATATAGTTAAGGAATAAGATGTTGAAACTCCATACTAAGTATTGCAAGCTAATTAATTTTAGAGAACTAATCTAGGATTCCAGAACTGGTAGACTTACTATGATCCAGAGAGAGATCATTCAGGAGAGCACCAAACTATTCAATATATCTGTAGCGAGGTTTGAGGAAAAAATTCAATTAGAAAGCCTTCGTACCCAGGATGCCAAGACAGAAGTTTTTTTTAGAAAGAAGATTGAAAAATGTATATTTCTACGGAAATTGACAAAAAAAATAAAGCATCTATTAAAGATAGGCAGGATCGTGAGCAGAGAATGAAGAATATGAAGATTACAACAGCAAAAAATGAAAAAATGAAAAGGGTTACTAATGAGGTTTCAAATGATTCTGATTTCAACCTATCTGTATCCAAGTTAGATGCTGCAGTTTTCACAGATAAATATAATGTCAATGAATTACTTCAAAAATTAAGTTCTTCAGTTAAAGCCAAGGTAAATAAAAAATTATTATAAAATCTAAACTTAATTGTATTAAATTTAAGTAAACTAAATTTAACTGCATTCAACTAGATAAGAATTATTTAGATAATGTTAAATATTAGTCTTGAGTATATAGTGGATTGTACTTCTGTGGTATCTACTCCGTATTGGGTTGGAATCCGACCTCAAACTGAAATCATTGCAGCAATATGCAATAAAGCAGGTGTGAATCTTGAGAATATATCTCCAAAAGTTCTGTTCATCAAAAGCTCTGTTCATCGAAAGCTCTGTTCATCAAAAGCTCTGTTCATCGAAAGCTCTGTTCATCGAAAGCTCTGTTTATCGAAAGTTCTGTTCATCGAAAGCTCTGTTCATCAAAAGCTCTGTTCATCAAAAGCTCTGTTCATCAAAAGCTCTGTTCATCAAAAGCTCTGTTCATCGAAAGAGATTCAACATGATTGAAGATCTAGGTAAAAGTTACTAATTTAAATAAATAAAAAAATTAAGACAAATTTAATTAAGTTGGTAATAAAACTATTTTGAATATTAGGAGACCAAATAAGGCAAGATACAATAAAAACATTGAAGGGAAAAAGACTTGTACTGCACTTCGACAGCAAAAAAATAAAAGAGATGTAGGATAATCTGAATATTACTGTTACTGTTGAAACAATTTTTGTTAGTGTTACATCACAAGATATTGACAAAACAAATGACATCCTCCGAAGAGAAGTTCAGGCTCCAGGATCCAAGGAAGTTGTTGACAAGGCAGATTTAATCTTTAATATCCTATAATATTACAACATTATTGATCACATCTTTGCCATATACTCTGACACTACTGCTTCCTACACTGGAGTTTTTGATGGAGTCATTACCATTCTCACAAAAACCCTCAACATTCCGTTTCTCTGGTTTCTCTGCAGACGATACATGTTTGAAATACATATCTCACATATCATAGAGGCATTTACTGGTAAAAAAACAGAGTGGCCCGGGAGAGCACTATATTTAAGACTTCAGAAAACCTGGCCAAGCATCAAAAGGAGGTAGACAAGTGGATGAGGTAATTAGGTTTGATTTGAATGAGCTACATGCTGGGAGGTCTTTGAGTTTTGAAAAAGGGCATTAACCACAAAGAAATATAAAATAGGCGACTACAAGAAGCTCTGCGAACTAATTGTGTTCTTTATTTTGGAGGAGATGCACTGGGATTCGTTTTTATTAACCTGGAGCCTGCCACGAAGCCAGGTATGGTTACAGTATTTTGACAATAATTTTTAATTTTAGAAGAGAATATATTTTCAATATTTTTCTATATAACTAATAATAATAATTTACTCTAAAGGTTCATGGCAGATGCTCTATACCTGTTGACGCTGAGAATGACTGAGAAAGTGGCCCAGGTGATGAATGAGGAAGAAAAAATGACGGCAATTACTGCAATATTCTTTGTTTCAATATGCAATATACCCTGCTTTTAAAAGCATATATGGTTGACAAGTCGCCTTCAAATTATTGATCTGACTTCAAGTCGTCGTTTGAAAGAAGGGACTACTATCCAAAACATGGGCAGGTTCTTCTTTTCAGCATGCGGCAAGCTTGGTACTTAACAGAACAATTAGTTATACTGGTCCTAGCTGAAAATGACGTTGACAAGAAGGCAAATAAAAAAATGTTTTAAAAGTTGGTCAAGTGTGATACAACCAAGCAGTTTCATATAGGGAAAATAATTTATGAATTATCAACCGGTCAACTGAGTTATTTGAGCTGGTAAGTTCCCAGAGTTGAATCTTGTTTTTGGTAGGGGGTATTCTTTATGAAGAAGTGAAGAAACGGCTCATGGGAAATGCCAGTGAAGCATTTGATCTAATTTAAAGATATTTGAAATTGATTAAATGTGTTAATGACTCCGCTTAAAGAAATATCCAACTAATCCAGGATTTTGTTGGACACTACAGGTTGGATAATATGAATCAAAAAATCATGCTCATTGACAGAGAAAACAGAAACAAACTAAAGAAAAAACTAACAAAGAAACAACTAATAAACGTTTAATTTTTAAAGTTAAAA